GCGTTATACGCTCGATCGTATCGAACGCGAGGTGGCCAAGTCTCTGGTGCCAGTGCAGCTGCGAGGCTTCTTGCATATCTTCAGCATCACCATTCAACGCGCGCGCTTCGAGCGCAGCCATGATTGCATCTCCATCGTTTTGCCTCCCGCATATCGCTGTCGTCTTAACGTACAACACGTTACTGTCGATCGCTACGTCGAACACGACTGTACCGTCGCTGCGCCGCGCTAGCGCTCGTTTGTTGCCGTCGTAAACGAGGGCAAACCCTTTGCTCTCCAGCTTCCCGTACTAGACGATGCTCTTCCCCAGACGTGGAGCGAGATAGACTTCTGTCAGATTCACAGTCATCTTCACAACGCGCGCGAGGACCTCAAGACACACACTCCCGACACGCGTCAGCCGCAGCGACTCTACATCTGCCATGGCAATCTCGTAGACGCAGGCAGTCGATTCGATCAGCAGCGACTCATCGTTCACGAGGTGCCTGATCGCGCCACTGTCAAGTATCCAGTCGCCTCGATCGATGTCAATCGCATCGTTTGCAGCTAGCACGAATCCGCCTGCGAAGTTCATAGATCGCACTTTATTCGCACGAACCGCTTTTCCTCGCGATTTTTTTTCTTTTTGCTTTTGGCTTCTTTCGTGCGAGCCTCTGACCCTTTCTCCGTGAGCGCAAGGACCATATCGCCGCTGCCACTCGTGTTTCTCGTCTCATCATCAAACACAACTCTTGCCTTGCATTCTGAAACAACATGCCCCGTCCTGCCGCAGCGGAAACACGTTCGTGTGTCTTGACGCTTCGTCTCGACATGCGCCGCGACGACCTCGCGACCAACCGCGCCACTGCCGAGCTCGATAGACTGCGCAAAGTGCGCCAACTCCTTAGCGTGGCTCAGGCAGTCGGAACGCGTCGGATCGTACTTAGCGCGCATGACATTCATCAGGTCTGGCGACGCGTGATGGACGATGTTGTCGAGCACAAGCAAGTCGGCGCCACCGCGCGCATCGCTGACAGCCACCATGAAAAGAAAGTGCTCAGCCCAGGTGCGTCGCGCTATTTTCCTTGCCATGAATAGATTCATGGCCTGGCTCGCCGTGATGGTCGTCTTGAACGTCAGGTGCAGCTGCTCCATGACGTGCTCGAATCTTGGCTGCTGCACCCACCAAGTGTCGACCTGTTTGTGGTAGTAGCGCTCCGCCGTACCAGCCAAGAAATGCATGAGTAGGTCCACTTTCACGTCCTCCGTCCAGGAGAAACCGCAAGACGCCTCAGCGAGGCTCACAGCGCGCATGAAGGTGCGTCCCCAGTCAAAGAAACCGCTCCCGAGCCCTTTGTAGAGCTCCGTCCCATCGAACTTGCGAATGTTGAGCTTTCTCTGACTAGCGCTCGGTATTCCGAAGTTTCCGATCGCTGCTGCCGTGTGTTTCGCAGGTGGCATCGCTTCTTGACGCAGCGCGACCATGGGATCGGCCGATCGTTCCGGTATGCGATGCTGAGCTGACGGCTGCCCACGCGGCGGCGCAAGAGAGGCGAAAATCGACTCGCCGTTATCTGGCCAGCGCTCGCGCGCGCGAGGTGCTGCTGGTTTTTCCTCCAGCGACCCAAGCGCGTCGATGGTCATGGGGCGTTCACGCATGTTCGATACAAGCTTGGATGCAAACATGCCGCTCTCGACAGCTCCAAGCATCCTCTCATCTTCGTCCCGGACGCGCTGCGAAGACTCGAGCTTCGACAGGCGGTCGGTCACTGCGGCGAGGGCCGCGAGAATCTTGTCGTCGGTTGCCTCGCTCCTTTCGCGAGAGGGCGGTACTTCGACGACTCCCGGCGTGTTCACCGACGAGGGAAAACGCGCTGGCAAGACACGCCCTGGCGCAGCTCGCGCGACACCTCCTGATGTATTGGGGGTCGCTTCAATTTCTCTAGCCATTGGGCTCATAACCTGTGGGAAGTAGTATGCGCAGTAGAAAGACGATTGGAGTCTGTGTTCCTTCTTACCAGTTTCTCTTGTCTGCCTCCTAGCCACTCGTTCTCAACGATAGATGGTTGCTGACCAACCTGTCTACTACCATCTTGTTCTGACTATCCCTGACTAGGTTGACGGCTGGCGCTAATCGAAACCACGAACTTCGACCTCAACTACCAACAGCAAATACCACAGTTATATCAACACTACAGATGTCATATAGCGAAGCCCCTTTGAGCTTCCTAGGAGGCGCATTACACTGCGCAGGTACCGACACGACGTTCGAAGATCCGCTTTCATTGTGAGCGCTCAACTTCTCGGAGACATAGAGTTTCTGGATTACCTCGAACCGGCCATCAGGAAACAACGATAGCTGGTCCTAGTGGATATCGCTCATCGTTGTAAAACTTCTTGCTGTCGCCTTGATCCAATCTACAATTTTCATCACACGTATCGATCAGTACCGCAGCACCCATCTGACAAATTATTTATAGTTAGCTGCAAAAATAAGAGATGCCGCATTTGCCAATCTGCTTCTTTCTCCATCAGGTTGCTTACTGCGGTCACGCAGGTTTCAGATATTGTTCCCTCGACTGGCGCCTTTGACAACTTTGAACTCTCACATTTTTCTTGTCGTAAGCTAGAGCTCCGATTGTACGCGCATAACCTTTCCAAATTTTGCTACTTCTCTTAGCACAGTAAATGATTTACTTTCTGAATATAAGATGAAGTATTATATGAGTGGCATCATCTTCATTCCGCAGAAACATCTTCTTCATCTGCTCGAAGGCCAGGTGTTCAGATACTTTTGGCCGTGAAGGCATTGTAGTAATTCTACAATATTATTGCTAATGTTATTTGGTTGAAGGCAGACTGGAATGGTCTACGGTCCACGCTTTTTACGATTTATTTGGTGTGTATGAAATAAGGAATAATTTGATAGCGTCGACATCTTATAATCTGTTATCCCATGTTATATGATGCGTGTTTTTCCCCACGGATCATATCGAATTGGACAGATTTGTAGCAAGAACTGCCATGACTGAGGCTACCCTTACAATAATTGTAAGTACGATCACGAAAAAGAGTTCAAAAGTGTAATTGTCTGTCATGAAATTAAACAATGTTTACTACAATATGAAGCAATTTACAGACAAATAGCTGTTGAGCATTTGTTCGATGTGTCGGATCCGTTTGCTGGCGATGAACTCTGTTTAAACCGCACTCGATAGCGAGATGATACTGCAGACCCGTGCACGAAAGCACGCCACGCACGACGACGCCCACGTGGTATGTCATGGTCTTTCTGGTGCACGTTGTTGCCCACTGGTCAACATGAGGTCCGAAAAAGTAGCTGGCGAACTCAGGTCTGTAGCCTGTCGAGTATGAGATGCAACAAGAGCATACGTTGCAAGCGATAGAAACTAGTAGGACAAAGACTCTCATAATTGTACGGTCCCCGATTGCATCATTGGTTGCGCTATCACACATGAACTAGGTACTAATCGCGAAGTCGAAGTGATTGTACGGCTGACTCTATAACAATCGCGACAGCAGTGGCTTAAGTCGCGTGCCTTCTGCCGAAAATATCGCTGCTATCATCAGTGCGCCCAAAGTACGGGACACAAGAATGAGCAAATGTTGCTATGATTGATGTCAACGTACGTGCAACTTTTGCTAGCACAGCTTGTCAGTAACGTGACTCTCGACGCCATGGCGTACGAAGTGCATATCCGATCTCCATGTGGTAAGACACCATTCGTGCTGAATGACGCCCACACGCATGGCGACGGATCATGAAGGAAAAGGTAACTGCAAATATAGAGGATGCTGCATTCGAGACCCGTGAAATGTACCGAAAGTGTGTTGGATGATGATGACGTACGTCAGCCTATTGTCATTCTAGGAAGAACATGACCATCACGCACGTAACACAGGTGCAAAAGTTGAGCCGTCGATTCGTAACGATCAGAACAACTGCAGGTGTTGCAGTTGTCGCACAGGTTCAAGCCATGCCCTCTAAAAATGACAAAATTGCTGTAAGCGGTAGATAGGGTTACAGTGCAGACTGTAAGACATGTGTCATTTATGCAATGGTGAGGACTGGATGGAGTACAGGAAACAAGACAAGCTGACATCCACAGCCTGAGTTCGGATGACATTCCAGCTGCGCGGGTCGGATACCCATTAGCCGTCAGGGAGATCGGTAAGGTATCAGACAGTTGTAGCAATGGGCTGCAAACTGAACTTCTACATGACCATCTGTCCTTAGAAAGGCCTCCAGCATCACCACACTCTTGCATCCACAGTGTGATCAGACTCACAGACTTCTCACCCCGCTTCATCTCAAGGTCATCATTCTTTCAGCCAAGCATGGCGATAGAAAGCCGAGACGCTTGCCGACATCGCACCGCAAACTCTCGATACTAGCACGACAGCGCTGCAGCAGCTATCAGCCAAGATGAAAGCGACTGCGCTGAGCTTGTCGTAGGTGACTTCGTCTTGTCCTCGAGCCGGTCCACAATCCGTGCATGGTTTCTTCTTTACCATCGTCATTGGAGCTGTCGCTGACTCGCTTATCAGGTTTCGAGATACACTCTTGCCCAAACAAGTCTCTGAGGGTGACGAGCAGCACGCCCGACAGCTTGTGGTATGATATAGAGTGAGCTTGGGCTAAGCTGTGATCTTCTTTTTGATGCTCATGCACTCGAAAGTCACTCATAGGACTCTAGTTACTATCTCAGCTCTCAAGACAAGCCCATACTTTTCCTTTGTCGTACATCAGTGCAGCAGTAAACATTAGCTATTCTACCTTGTCCATGCTGCCAAGCTGTATCTGCCTTGCCTTGTACTTGGCACAATGCCACTTTTTCGACAGTAAGTTGAGTTTTCGCTAAGTGCGCTCATGTCGCTTACAGCAGAAGCGCAGAGTGTACTCTCTTGGCCACAACATGGACGTGCGTGTGTCACTACGACCACAAGTCGAGGAACGCGACTCAGTTCGTTAGAAATCATTTTAGAAACGCACTTCCACGATGGCCACCTGTTTGCTGAAGGAATGGGTTGACACGCACGAGTCCGTCGTGACAGTGGCGCAGGACCTCATTGACCCCGTGTCGATTGTTGCTCTGTATGGAGAGGACGACCGATCGATTGTGGCACTACGTGACTTTCCACTCGGTGCGAAAGTGGTGACGCTGAACGCCGGGGCATTTCTAAATGGCAGTTACTGGCTGGACCAACTCGACGCAAAGGGTCGAGTCCAGTTGACGCAGCAGATGGACCTGTTGCAAGTGAGTGGCACGATAAGAACGGCATTGGCATTGCTGGCAGAGCGCGCACGAGCGAAGGAGAGTGACTTCTATGGCTACATCCAGCAACTGCCGACGACCCTTTCGCTCCCTTTCGCGTGGGACCCAAAGTTTCGGCACATGCTTCAACACACTTCAGCGTACGTGGATGGTGGGTGAACGTTGTACACAGAAAATGCTGAAGAAGAAGAAGAAGAAGAAGAGACAATCAGTGCTGAGGTTTGTGTGCTAGGTATCCGCTACTGGACGACAAGGTCGTGCTGAAAATGTACTCGCACTATGTGGCACCGCTGGCCGAGGTCTTTCCGACAATCTGGCCGAGCGAAACGTCGACGCTGGAGAGCTTTCAGTGGGCGTACGCGACCGTTGTATCGCGGTACGTGGAAAGCTTCGCTTGTGTTCATCGAGCGAGTTGCTCAGTGCTCGCGCTACAGGGCCTTCAACGCCACAGGTGCACTGGAGCCCACTTTACTTCCAGTGATCGATATGGCCAACCACGAGGCTGAGAATCCGGCAGCGCACATTGTCGAAACGGACTCGGGCAGCTTTCAGGTGCGCGTGGTGTTAAGCTCATTGGAAGTTCGTTGCTCACTTCTGTGGTTATGGAAAGCTGGTTGCGCTGCGCAAGGTGGAAGCAGGCGAGTCAGTTACAATCTCGTACGGGAATCTATCAAATGCCCAGGTGACTTGACGTGAAACAATGTGGCTTTGGGTATCTACGGACATCCTTCACTCACATCACTGACCACTTTTTCCATTGCGGATATGCAGCTCTTGTGTCGTTATGGTTTCGTGCTGCCCTCACTTGTGCCGTCGGACTCGATTCAAATCACCAGCTCTGAGGTCATCGATGCTTTTCATACTCGCTCGCAAAGCAGCGAAGACGAAGAAGACAACGTCCCTCGCGTGGGCAAAGGCAAAGCTCTGGCAAACTCGGTCAAGCGTCAGAAACGATGTCATCCAAAGAACGACAGTGAATGCCTGTTTTTCTTACTGCATGGAGACGCCGAACGCGAGTATGGACTGGGTGATGCGCTCATGGATTTTGTGATGACATCCCGATTGCCTGCCGAACAGCTCCACGACGTGCTGATCGCGCTTCTGCAAGAGAAAGACAAATGGTACAGCGACATGCTCGTGATGTCTTCCGAGACCGCCGTCCCCGAAGTGAACGCTATCCAGCAGCTCTGCCAGCACGAACGACACATTTGTCGCCGCATTTTGCTAGGACTGATGTCTCTCGAGGAAGACTCGGATCTAAGCGACGAGGAGAACTAGGTTCCTCCTGCGGCGTCCAGTTCCATCCATAACTTGACAGATGTGCAGTACGACGGTCGCTGCTACCAGGAATATGGCAATGACAGCTTCCGCCTATGCTTTAGCTCTCATTTACTCGAACATGCATGGTAAGTGCGCCACCATGAGATGACCGCGGGACCCACAATACCAGTGAGCTACCTGTGTTTGATAACATACCGAGCATGTTCTGCCGCCGACAATCGAGATACAAGGCTTGGTCTTGCAGCTTCGAGACGTATTGTGTCCACTTGACCGTACCACCAACAGGCACTGCCACTTCATCATATTCTTCACCGCCTGAGTGAATGATGACCGTCACGTCTTCCGTGCCGACACTCTCGAATGCAAGGTTCACCATGCCGTCACCTTTCTTCGTCCACGTACCATAGCTGCCTTCGAACGCTCCGCCCAAAGTCTCCAGTCCAAGAGCATCGTGCAGCGTGCCGTCGTCAATTTCGCCTATGAAAGCCGTAGGGCCACAAGTCGGTTGTACAAATTGTGACAGCATCCACAAGATACGTGTCGAATCAATGCTGCCAAGTATAACGAGCACCAAGTTCGCTGCCTCCAAAGTAAAGTCGCCTTCAGCGACCGACGCACCCATGTCGGTTTGGTCCGTTTCGACCAGCTGATCAACAATCACTCCAAGTGTCTTTCGGATCAAGTCACGAGTACCAAATGCAGCTTTTCTAGTTGTGCTCGCCATCACCTCGCGCATGCAATTATTCGTAACAATGGGAATGTCCTTCAGCACAAGAGGTGACTCACTGATTTTGACACGAATGTCGTCGACTGCGGCGGCAGGCGCCTTGTTGCGAATCCCATGGACCGAAGCAATGATGTAGTCAGTAAGATTTCTGAGTTGGTCTCCACAAGTAGAGTTCATGTCGAGAAGGTCCTGAAGCTCTCCGACGTGTAACCCCTCTGTTGAATTAATCGTGCCTGTATCCATGAGAAAATTCATGACGTCGTGGCCAGACGAGAGGATTCGGTCGCCATTGGTGATAGCCTGTTTCACGACATTGGCGACGACAGTGTGGACGCAATTGAACACTTTTGCCTTTGTCGTAACTTCCCGTCCCAGGCAATTGGCAACAGCGATTGGCATCGAGTAGAGCACAACGTTGGACTGGTATGCCAATGCGAGTAACTCTTCCATTGTCTGTTGTACTGCTGTCGTTCGACGAAAACGAAGATAGTAGGCAAGCGACTTCACCAAACCGATGATGTTGGCGGCGCACAGAAACGTCGTCTTTGTTTTCGTGTACGACGGGAAGATCCTGCCAAAGATTCCTGCTGTCACTGTGTTGAACACTGTGGCGATCACCGATACAGACTTGCTGAGCAGTTCCTCTGCGCAGTTGTCATTCTGTGGGATGCATTCCTCGTAGCATGCCACGGGATACGATATCGGACACTGTGCTAAACAGCTCTTTCTATCCGCGCTGTACCCTACAGGACACGACTCTTCACTGCCGTATTCCACCCTCTTTCGATAGCACGCCGAGTCCGTAGCGTCACTTATGGTAGGACCAACCCAGTTCCGAATGCCACTGCCATACCAATCCGATTCCACTAAATCGGTCAGCGCTTTGCTGGTCGCATTTCGTCGCGTCCAGATCGCACCCAATTGAGTCACTTGGCTTGCTGCGCGGCCAAAGAATCCGCTGAGCTGGAAACCTTTCGGAGCACGAATCGTCAAGCTAGCACCTGCCTTCTTCCCTGCAGCAATCGTACGACCTTGGTTCGTGCTGAAGTTGAGGTAGACAATAGTCGCGCTAAAGCCGTGTGGGGTCCAATGGACCTCCATCGACTCGACGTACTCCTCCTCGACAAGATGCAGCGTCGAGTCCGTCCCGCTCGATCCACCATGCGACAGCGTGACTTCCGTCGGCGTATCTACGCGCAACGTCACGGATGTGATCCATTGCTCAGCACTGATTGTAAGTGAATGAACGTGCTGGCCAACTACAATGCGATTGACGTCCGAGAACGTCACGCCAGTGGATCCACCGCCCAAGTCGCTGAGCTGAATGTCGTCGCCGTCGTCGAAGGTCGTTGTACCGTACACCGCGACGACAGCCACGAGGAGCAAGAGCGACGTCGCAAGGACGACCGCCTGCAACGGCATCGAAGAGCTCTGCCGTGTGGCCACTAGCGAGGGATTGGTACCTGCAGAGAGAGAGAGAGAGAGATCGGGAAGCACAAGTGACGTGGGAGTCGCATGCAACGATGCCACCAAATGAGCTCTGTAGCTCTTGGGCGGCTGAGCTGGAATCAGAAGTGACAGGAGCCAGAAAACAACCGCTGCTTGTCGCTGGCGGGGGCGAAAAGGGACACGTCACGCTTTTACCGACTCGGCCACGCGTGACACAAACGAGCCAGCGCCCGCGACCGTGGAGGCGGCCGGCCGGACCAGGGCCATGAGTGGTCCGAATACCCGCTGCATATCGATATCGACGTGGCGTTTTGCGCTGTGAACCGGACGCCCAGCGTCGCGCGCGAGCCAATCAAATCGACAGCGACGGGAGGGAATTTGAGGCGGAGGGAAAAGCCATTGAGACCGAAGCGAAGGGGGCGAGACGGGATTCGCTTTCGCGCCCGCCCGGGCTCTGTTTCTATCTCTGTCGAGTTCTTTTTGCATGGCCGTGTGCGTGTGTTGTGTGTGTGTGTGTGCTTTGAAACCACCTGCTGCCGTACGTCAACGAATTGGATGGGCAAAGTTTTGTCTCAAAAGAGGGACAGACACAGACAGACGGACGGCCGGCCGTCCGGAGGTCATCGGCTCATTCGTTGATGGTGGCAGATTGAACCCATAGCGGGCACTACGTGTCATGTTTGTCCATCCATTGCAAGGCCACGTGCACCGAGTTCGTGGCGTATTGGCGACCATACAGCTTCCCGCATTTGGTCGAATGCAGCACCAAAGAGCACGTTTGCACAGACGTGCGCACTGCGTCAGTGCGAGAACCTCTTGTTCCACTGCAAAGTGCTTTCGAGCTCTCGCGATGTGAACTGCAGTACTGCTGCCACTTGCTACCCACCAACAAAGAGCCGTCCACGTTCGTTCTTCCGTCCTTGCTCGTCTGCCCGTTGGCGAGCCATAGACTCGATCACAAAGGTGTGCTCGATCACATCGGCGAACCTTATCACAAAGCTCTGCCTGTCAAACGCCACACCCCCCCTCACGAGCACGCTTTGCCTGTTTTTTTGCATGCTGACATCACCAACCAACGAACCGCACACGAGCGCGCGAGACCATATGGTCGCTGCTGGCATCCCACCTGTCTTTTTTGTTCATCCCGAGTTGAGATTCGTCGCCATGGCGGCTCTTCCTTGGCCGCCGCTAAACCTGGTCCCCGCTCGACATTAGGCTTCGTGTTTTCCGACTGGAAAAGACAGGACGTCGAGAGGAGGAGGAGAAGCAGCAGCAGCAGCAGCACGAGAAGCAGAGGGGGAGGAGAAAAAAGAGCTGCAGCATCCACCACACTCTTGACTTGTGCCCCACTGCGCAATAGCACGTCCACGTGCACATCCGTGCGAGAAGAGGGTGAGGGCGGTCGTGGCCTTTCTAACGTCCACTCGTCGATTCGCAGAGGATAAGCCGATCGCACTCGTCGCCCCATTAGGGCATCGCCAGGACTCTTAGCAATGCCGGCGCTCCCGTGTCGGTGCGGATTGGCCCTTCTCCTTGTGCTTTTCCTGGGCCGGGGCGCCGCGTTCTCGCACACTGACGTCCGACATACCAAGAACTTTGGAGAGAGTACAAAGGGCGACGCGTTCTCGGACATTTCGAAGATCACGTTGGGAACGATGATCAGTTCCGTGACCCTGCGAGGAAATAAGCGCGTTGACCAAGTTACACTGCGAGCGACGTCACCCGTGGAGCGGACGTGGACGCACGGTGGGTCAGGCGGCACGGACAACACGCTTCTTCTCCGTCCAGGCGAGTACGTCACTTCGATGGAAGTGCATTTGGCCAAGAAGCTGTTCCGACGAGAACGGGTGACCTACCTCAAGCTGAGCACAAACTTGGGCCATGCCGTTGCTACAGGGTCCCCGACGAATGACGTAACGGTTGCAGAAGCCCCCAAAGGCTTCCGCCTCAGTGGTTTCTTTGGTCGCGCCTCGACGGAAGTGTACACGATCGGAGCCATTTGGATGAGGATCAATGCTACGTCGTTGAAGCTCACGGACACCATGGGCACGGAATGGTATGGCAAGCGGATCCGAAATTGGGTCGGACCAACGATTGGCAATGCCTTTGACTCAGCATGCTACCGAAAGACGCAGCCTTATAGCAGCAACCGCCTCTGTCCTCTTGGGTACGTCAAAACCGACACTGACTGTATGGCAGAATGTCCGCTGTCGTACCCAGTGCAATGCCACATTGAGTGCATCCCGCAAAATGATGACTGCGTGATTGAAATGCTGCAGAAAGCTGTGTCCGTGGTGTCGGTCTTCTTCAACGCCGCCACCGTTGGCTTGTTTGGCGAATTTAGAACCGCGTACCAGGAGGCACATCGATCTTACTTGTGCGCTGCAAGTATCATTGGCGTGCTCAAGTCCCTCATCTACTACCTGAGAACCCGCAAAATGACCGACCCTCACGGAACAGTCGAGGAATTGCTAGCCATTGCGTACCAGAGTGACGTTGTGATAGTAGACTTGCCTATCACGGTCTGCACTTGCCTCGGTATTCCTGTTGCGTTCGAAGCACGGGTCGCGCAAGTCGTGTTCGTGATTGTGGAGAACGTCGTCAAGCAGTCCATCATCAACGGAGAACTGATCTTATCGTCCGCGACCAACGTGATGACGTTCCTTGCGAACTCCACTTTGCTCAACACTCCAGATAGTAAAGTCATGGCTGAAGTCCAGGACTTTATTGACAGGAACTCGACCTGCGGGTACCAGATCAAGAGCCTAACGGACCATATCAGCACTTATATCCGAGCAATACGCCACAAAGTAGCCAAGATCACCAATGCAGACATTCGTTTGGTACTCAACCAATCTCCACTCGTACTGGAAGGCGTCCCCGTGGTCACGAACAACTGCATGCACGAAATTCTGGGCAATAAAACGATAAAAGTTGCGTTTCAGACCCGAGATTTACTGCGGAAGACGATGGGGGTGATCATTGATCAGCTCATCGAGACGAACAAGACCGACATGGGAGCTTCAGTTGCAAAGGATGAAACGACGATGGAATCCGTGAACCTCGGGCTCGTTGTTCTCTCTGGCCTCGACATCACGGGCATCCTTTGGATGACCTCCCAATTTGTCCAGCCGACGTGCGGCCCGACGTCCTTTGTCGGTGAGATTGACGATGGCACTCTGTTTGACGCGCTTGGACTGACGACGAAAAACGAAGCATTTATAGGCAGCTATGGAAACTGGAACAAGAAAGGTCCTGGTCTGGTGACCCTCAACCTCGTGAGTGCTGACACGGTGGACGTGGAAGTGATTGTTCACTCAGGCGGTATCGAGTACGCAGAGGTGAAAGTGCCTTCGCGCGAAACAGTTACATGGACCACCAATATAACTGATCTGCAAGACAAGACGTTGTACCTTGACCGGCGGCGAAAAGGTGTGCTAGGAATACCAGGGTTCGGTGGAGGCTCGCTGCTACTCTGGGTTCCACGGTCTTCTTCGGGTGGGCATTTGGTACTGAATGTGCACATCAATTCGCCGTAGCAAGTCTCCACTTATATATCAACGCAGTCTCCAGAAGACGCCTAGAGCTAAATAGAGGGGTTCACCGCGATTGGTCCTCTAATACCTTCCAACCCATTCGAAGGTACCATAATATATCAAGACGACATATTTACAGCATCGCCCATGTTCTCAGGCCAACTTCTCATGGATGACACAGCGCATATAATCGTTCACTCAGCAGTTTTACCTGCTGGTTTCCACAATCTTCGTTCAGGATTGGAAGTGAGCTACGCTTCAGCTAGTCGATGACGTAGACATTGACCCCAAATTTATCAGACTTCAGCTATCCGATGCCTTTGCCATCGACCGAAAAAACAACAGAATCCAACAGTCCGGCGACAAGCTCTTCACGGTCCAAGAGACAAGTATCTTGTATCTTGTCACAGCACAGCTTTCCACAACCATGTTTGCTTCTGGTCACGGGCTGAGTGGAAAATGTAACTCACTCCGCATGGGGTTCTATCGGCTCAAGACACCTTGAGCGTTGATTAGCCCACTATTCTCCTCAGCGACATGAGCGACTCCAAGCAATCGATTGCTGTCATTGGCATGTTTCGTGTCAGTGCATTCGTTACTAGCACTTCCTACCACATGGTGAATCATCAGAAATGTTAGTAGCCTTTTTCGTTTGCATGTTGCCACAATGACCGATCATTGATCGCCATATTCCTACCGTGTGTATGTTCGTGCAGATCGGCGTCCCATGTTATCGCCGGCACCATACAGCACTACTACAACGTCCCAGGTTGCAGTAAACGTTCCAAATGAACTGCCTAGTCGCGCCTGTTATGCAAACCTACAGAGTCGGCCTTCTACACGACACATGTGGCTTCTTTCCCTGGAACTGGACGCAAACTCACGCTCGAAGAGCTGCTGGTGGTTAGAAAACGGAGGATCAATTGCGTTTTCCCTCTCGAACAACTGAAGCGCCTCGTTTCATCGCCTTCTTTCGCACGTATGCACCGTGTCGCGCGCCTCAATGGATCTCATGCGCCTGCAGCACTATTTGCACCATATCGCGCACCTCTATGGATCTTATGCGCCTGTACTAATATATGTTTTTTTTCATAAACAAACTCGATCTTCTCCGAAACGAATGGCCTCTTTTTATGCTATTGACATTACTTGTGGGGGTCATTGCCTAGATCTCATCACCGAGCTAAATATTTTGGAACAGTTCCAACTTTATGAATAAAATTGAGGGAATATTGCTTGAGCAGTGCTAACTTTTGTGGATAATATTGAGGGAATATTGCTTTTTGACGGTAATATTCAGCGTAGCTGGTGACACACAGCGCATTCGCTGACATAAGCTACGATACCGGCCGATGAAACTACCGATCAGTGCTAGACGCGCCGAATGCGCGTCTAGTAAATGGTTGCTGAGCACGAGCTCGGGATTCGCACTGTACTGTCCCTGTACTCAGGTAAGGTTTTACACAGATGAATCTTATAACCCGTTAAAAGTCAAAATAAAACGGGTTCACCTCGTTTCATCAAACTGGGTCAATGGGCACATTACCTTGATTCATGATAATCACCAATATGTACTCTACAAAGAAAATATGGATGTAATAATATCTGTGGAGGTAAATGCGGCCTAACTCCACTTATTGATGGTTGATATAGGTCATTATATCATTCGACTAGACCACCGGTCGCTGCTAGACGCGAGCAGCGGGCAGTGAGAGGTAGCCGTTTAGACATTTGTAGTTCCATTAATTAAAGCTAGAAAAAAAATTTATTTAGCATGTTCTGACTATAGATTGCAATAGGCATACTTTTCCACTGCAATGCGTGATTGTTTAAAATGGACATGTAGACATGTGGCAGGTCGTTGCGCGTGAAAAGGCGCGCCGATTCGTGTGCACAAGTTACCGATTTCTTGTGTAGAGAGATATTGGAAAGATGCGTTTGAGTGGCTAGCAGAAGATCTGGAAAGTGAGTGACAGCTGGAGATAGCAGATACCTAGTGTATCAGCAGCAACAGAAGAGCAATATCAAAACAGAATCCATTTAACCTTCCTATAATCAAGCCCAAGCCATTCGACTGGTTATGAGCCCAATGGCTGGAAACAACGGCGACAAGGCCGCTGCGCCGCAAGGTCACGCAAGGGCATCGTCGGCCCGCCCGACGAGCGCGTCCGCCGTCGGTGATAACTCGCCGGCCCACGAAAGAGGACCGACGAAGAGAGACAAGATCCTCACGATGTTCGACGCGCTCTCGTCGCTCTCGGACCGCAACGAAACGAGCCACATCCGCGTCGAAGAGGACGAGGAATGCGATGCGCAATCGAGAGCGGGCTTTTCGCGTCAGCGTTCGGCGCGAATCTGGGAACACACACGATGCACATGGACGCGATCGAGCTAGTCGAAAAAGAGCCGCCAGATAGTGTGCCACTGGCACACGCCCTAGCAACGAGTCAGGAGTACTCACCGTTTGAGGCTCTCGGGCCTCGCTTTCCCGCACCACCGCCACAGCCGCAGCAGGTGTGTGCGCGATCGCCAATCGCGGCACTAGTCACAGCAGAAGAACAAAAAGATCGCGCTCTTGAAGCGTCCCTAGCAGCAGCGCATCCGCCGTGGTACACGCATCAGCGGCAACACGTCGGGACATCGGACGCGCGCCACCGGATGCTCTTCGTGCGCATGTTCGACGGTTCCGAGCTGTACCGCGGCCTTGTCTAAAGTTTCTATGACTGGAGTCGCACGTATCTGCGTCACGTCAACATAGTGCAAGTGGCCCAAGGCCTCCTTTTGACGGAAGACGTCAAGGTGGACCTTCTCGACCACTACCAGTTTGGTTTGTCCGAGCAATATTACCACAAGTAAGTCGACACGTGGTGGCTCGAACAGCCTGCGCTCGATTCCTGATGGGCAGGATGCTTGTGAGGTATAATACGTCGTTCAGACCACCGCAAGCAATGAAGCTCTTCGCGCAACAGAACGACGCAAAGCGAATTTGACCCGAGCATATTTTGTAGCTCGTAGCGGTCGGCGACGCGCGAGGTGGCGCCGACAAGCTGGTGCTTGAAAACATTGTTAAACATGCGTCAACGGAGATCGGCCTCGTGATGAAGGCGAAGCACGATTCGAACCGTACTGATCCCCTGCGTCACGCCGAGGAGAAGGCGCGCTTTGCGTAGTCGTATGAGTATACAGCGATGTCGATCGGACAGGAAGTGATGGCGGCGCACGTTACCAAACCGAGGTCGCCGAAGGAATTGCGCGTGTGATACGGGTGCGTCAATACTGGCTACATTTGGGTGCAGTGTCGATCGACAAGAAACAGTGGCGGTGGCGTTAGCACCAGTGCAGTGCGCCAAAATAATGAAGACGGCGAAAAAAGCGGCATGTTGCTGGATTTGACGGAGCGCAATCCGTGGGCGCGTGGGGCGCGTGGGGCGCGTGCTGGCCGCATAGCTGAGCCAAATGAGTTGTATAACACGCTCGAAGACGGCGACAGGAGCGCCTGGATTCTCGACGGAGGGTCAAGTAGGCACCTGGTGAACGATGCGGCGCTGCTTCTCAACGCAAAGCGCTGCAGTCGGAAGATCGCGATGGAAAACGGCAACGAGCTCGAGCTCATCCAGGCTGGAAGCGTGCGGCTTAAAATGAACGCTTCAGGCATGGTGAAGACGGTGAATTTTACCGACGTTTACTTGGCGCCGCAGCTCGCTTGCACCGTCTTGTCTCTTGGGAAGCTGGAGCAGAAAGGCTTCGGGCTAGTGGACGAAGACGGTGCGACGGATCGCGCGCATGAGCGATTGGGTAGTCGTTTTCGACGTAATGACGAAGAACAACGTGATTTTCGCCGGCATCGCGACAACGCGACGTGCGTGAGGAGCTGCCGAAGTTTCATGGCGGCGCTCGAAGCCGATTATGCGATCGACCTGTTGACAGATGTGCAAGTGGGATCACTGATCCACTATCATCAGCGTTTCGGACACCTATCGCACGATACGATAGAAAGTATAGCGCGCAACTCCAAGTCCGGCATCATGTTCAACGATCTCCGTCGGATCAGGTGTGTCACGTCTATGCAAAGCAAGCAGACGATAAATACCCAGATGCAGAAAGACGTCGGATCTAACTTGACGATAGAACGGGTCGGAGGCGTAATTTGTTTCGATCTCAAAAGGTATCTGATGACCAACGATCGTCTCGCCAGTCGGTACTGGTATATTATGTCGACTACGCACGCAATATCTGCCATGTGTTTCTGGCAAAGAGGAAGTGTTGAGCGACCAAATAATTCGTTTTTTTTTACATTTTACGAGCGACGTTTCTGGTGCAAGACCCTTGTGTTGCGGATAGATGGGTGTAGAATACCAAAACTTGAGCCTCTATTGCAAAAAGACCGGAGCGCGCGTCAAATTAGCGAAGTGCGCAATCAGGCAAGCAACGGAAAAGCAAAGAGCATGCACAGGGCCAAACCTTGCACTAAAATTGAAAGAACAATGTTCGTGGAACGAAGTAGGGAGGCAAAACCCTTACAAATATTGTTCTCGAGGTTTTGGAGCTTCGTCCGCAATATCGGTTTTCGCGGGGGAACATGCTGGCGTGTACACTGCACCGAAGGATGTGTTCTCTTCTGGTCGGTATGGTTGGCGGAAATATCTAGATATTAGCTAAGCAGTAATATATCAAGATTTTGGTAGAAATTATATATATGTATCGATATATGTATAGCAGTCTTCCGACGATGATGCTAATTCGTGCTTAAGCTGCCGCTAACAACGCTGTGGGGATCAACGGTGACGTGGAAATAGACGACGAAGATATCGGCGCCGCTGGTGATGACCGTAATGCATCAATTGTCGTCGCTGATCAAGCACTGGGCCCTAGAATCATGGACCACGTCGCTGCGCTCGTACAGAAGTTTCTCCTCCAGACCTAGGCGCTGGAAAGATGTGTATGCTGTCTTGTAGTATCAACAGGAAGGGCAAAATTGCTCTTAGAACGTCGCGATGATGGCTGGGTAGACCTCAACAGAGACCAGGGTAAGGCAGCTTACGGACCACCAACGTGACATTGCTGCAAATCTCGAAGAAGCGCTGAAGGCTACGCAAGCCACCCTCCAATGACAACTTTAACACCAGAAGAATGTTTAAGATGAGCGAGGCGGTAAAATTGAGAGCTACATTAGTGACAGACTTAATCTGACGAGCCAAGACGTACAAAACGAAGTCTACCAGAAGTTGATGCTGGCGGAGCTCAACATGGACGTCACTCTATCGCGGATGATGGAGCAAGTTCGAAAGATCATTGAAGACAACCTCGTTGGAGGCAATCTAGAAGAGAAGGCAGCACATATTAAACAGCTACAAATATCGAAAATATAAACCGATCACGTTGCAGCGAAAGTAATGGAGCATGCGCTCAAACTCGTTGGCGACATGATTGCGGTGTCTCACGGTGGAATCAGCCTCACACAAGAGTCAGCGTAGATCGTCCAACAGCAAGTGGAAATTTCGAAAGAGGTCATTGAAGAAAAAGGTATGGAATGTGTACAGCACCTTGTCGATGGTAAATTATTTGTTGCCATTCGCGGGACCAGCTTCAATCACGAGACGAGAGAAATGGTGAAGAATCAAGTGATTTGAAGAGGAAAGGTGTTGTATCTGTAATAAAGAGCTCAGTATGGCAGGATCTTTTGAAGGCGTGCGAGTCAATTTGCGATGAGTTGTTGCGGTGAGCTGGCGATGTAGATGGGCTTCTATACGAATCTTTTCGCGACTTCGTTGCAGATACAACAACGAACGCAATCCGTCAACTTGTAGCACACATCCAAAAAATGCTTACGAATACGCAGGCTGAGATAAAGTTACAAGTGCAACGTCCAGCAGACGCGACAAAGGCTCTTTGTGAGCACGTCAAGACGAACTGCGCTAGTATGGATAGGTAAAGTCAGCAAAGTTTTGCCGGCCTTATTCGTACTATCGTAAGTCTCCTGAAGAAGGAGGTGAATATGTGCATAAAAGCTCTGCAGATATAGTCACCCCAGTCCGGCCACGACGCGTTACGGCAAGATGGTGCACCAGCCAATATTCCAAAGCCTCCCAATACAGCATTGATCACAGCTTGCAGTTGGCTGTTGATGTCACCTGCGAGACGGTTGAGGAGGGCTTGCGAGAGCGGACGTCTGTATATGAGCGCCGGAAAAGCTGAACGACCCGCTAAGAGGCCAACTGAACCAGCTACAGCCAAGGAGACTTTGACGGAGATAATGAAGTCGAGGAGATGATGCTGGAGGCAAAAATACTATCGACATGCACTATTCCCTGTATCTCCCGTTCAACTGCCTACAAGAGAGAGTTGTCCATCCACCAACCTTGATGATGAGTCAAAGGTGCAGTATCGTCGAAAAGGGACCAGTAACATACGGTTTCGATGGTGTTCACAAGTGCTGAGACGCAGAAAGAGGAGAAAACGCTACAAACATTACCTACAGCTAGTCCATAATTGAAGACATCACCCGAGTCATACAGGGTGGTGGTCGTAAGGCCACATATGGCCGTAAATGAGGAGACTCGTGCTTCGTCACAAAACGAGGAGTATCAAGAATATTCCCCAGCACTTCAGCCGACAGCAAATAGACTCGTGCGATTGTAGACAATTCGAGTGCGCACTCGAGCTCCCGCGCGCAACCCACATCATTGAGCGCGAGAACATAAACTAAGTGCACTCGTGTCAGAGTTTTATCTATAAGTTCAAGTGAGAGCTGAGTAGACAGCACAACGCTACGTTTCGAGTCAAAAGTAATTGTTGCTATTTCTCTATATGTTCACGATCCCGACATCGTATCCTCGAAGTCATCAGTTTGTGACATGCAATTAGCGAAGTCGTTCAGAAGGTCGCTTGTCATATCTTCTAGTTCATAGTGTATTTATTCGTCAACGGAGAAGATGAAGCTGGTAGGTTTGTGTAAGTGATGCTGTCCTTTTGGTGGATAATAACACTACAGTAGGCCAACAAAATCGCTATTTTCTGTCAGTTATAAGCACATATCGATATTGTGCTCAGCTAACGTCGTGCGCTGTGTAGTTACCATCTGCCCGCTTACACCAACACCACGCTCAATCTGGCACAAATATGATGATATTAAGAACAGCACTCTCACAGCTTTCGATGTAATATGAGAGTCGCCTCCGTGTTCGCGTCTTTGCCAAAATCTCAAGTACCGATAGCGTTGGTGTATAGACCTCGTTTCGTGCAATATCAACAGGATCCTACAGCCATCGATCGAGTTTCTCTTCTGCGCGTCAATCCTACCGTCTTATAGTTGGTGGTCGACTTGATCTCGGCGCAAATTCTGCTTCCAGCCGGCTGAAGTGCACTACAGTCGGACGTGATATAAATATAAAGACGTCCGCGGGATCACTTACTGCATTAAGTAAGCCCAATAATTTGATTAGAATTTTGCGCTCACATCATTCTTCCTGGCCATAGCCTCCCTTACGCTTTTTCCATGTTGACGGCACGACGATATCACTGCACGGTCGAGACCCCGCACCGTTCGTTTATACATAGGGTGAAGGTTTGACGTCATTTGATATGCAATTTTTCTTTGTGGAACTGCTTATCATTGTAATATCTGCTGAAGAAGAGCTCGTACAATGCTTCTCGTAAAAGCCTCCGTAAATTCTCATCCAGAGGTGTGAGGTCACTTGCAGGGGTCCATCGAGTGTTTTGAGGGAAGATAGGTATTGTGGCAAAGGCTTATCAGGGTCGAGGTCGTGAATTGCGTCGTATACAACTTTACGAGTACTTCGGCTTGAACAGGAAGCTCTACTTGACATTCCCGCTTGATATCACTAGTATGTCTTTGCACCGACAACACATGGACCAAGTCGCTATGGTGATTAGCCAGCGGAAACTCTGGTGGTCGATGGCTGCTATGAAGTTCTTTACCAGCTAGCTCATCATGCCACTCAATTATTGCAGTCCATTATTCAAGAATTCTCTTCAACTAACGCGTCATGCTCAGGAATCGTGACGTAGAATATTAAACAAGTCGCGTGGAGTCTCCCTTAGACTTCGACTTACAGAGCTTTATAAATAAGTGCCCGATGACAGACACCACCTTTAGCTGAAAGATTGTGTAATCATACGTAATATCAATTCAGCCATCTCCGCGAAAGATGAAGTGTTATCAGCTTCATTAACACCACATGATGACTTTGTAGCTGCGTGAGTCATTTGTGTGAAGCACCACTCCCAGTGTATATTAATATATTTGCACATCATCGATTTCATGTGACGTCCTGTGTAACGGGTTACACGTCGGCTGGTAGCCGACGATAGGTGTGGTGCACACACGAGAGGGGGTACCCTATAAGGTACTATTAGAACACAGTGAGCGTATCAATTGTTGAAGACTGTTGTCTGTCATCAATTGATTGCAAGATCTTTTAAGAGGTTATTTAGGGCAGGTTAAATACGTTGTTCTAAGGTGTTCTTTTAGGTTAAATGAAGAAATAAAATTCAGTTCCCATTTTGATCAACATAAGACACGTGCCTTACGAGGCGTCTTGATCGGAAGAGCTAGCAACGCCTGTAAAGGTAGCTACTCTTGAGCACTCTGTGCTGTGATTCATTTGAATCGTTTGGTCCCTCTGGAACAGGGACCGTAAGCTCTCTGAGCTTGTTGACTCTCTGAGTCGGGTTCGTAGAACCAAAGTTGCTCGCAAGAGCGTTAAGTCTTCCTCTGACTTAAGGAGCTGTGTAGCTCCGCTACACTTGATAGCACTTGTAGTCAATCTACACCTGAGTCGATAACGACTGATCCTTTGTAAGGATGGAGAAATCCACAACCCTCTCTGAGGCTCAAAAGGCCGCGCTTGAGAAGCTGACCGCGGCCGTAGGCCCAGAGTATGTGGAGTTTTTATCTGCACAAGGTCCTGATGTGCTAAAGCACGTGTCGAGACCTTCATGCAGTATGAAATGGCCCTTTTAGGGCAGGTACAAAACAAGTAGCGTCGGCTATGCCAACACGCTACGTGGCGATGCCAAAAGAAGAGGATAATTCTCGTCCCCTTAGGGTGGACGTTAATCTTTACTCCGGGAAGGAGGGGGAAAACTTGACCCTCTGGATCCGTGAGATTGAGATGGCCATGGACTCTGGTCTCATCTCACTAGAGAACCAGCGGGTCTCTTTGGCCATCTCTAAGCTCGATGGTAGAGCTAGAGAGTGGGCTTTGACGTGTGGCACGTCGGTCAATTTGGCATTTCCCACGTGGGAATCGCTCAAGTTAGACCTCATGCGAGTTTTCTCGCCGCCTAACCAGGCATATCGCGTGCGATCACGCTTCTTATCAACCCGTCAGGGTAAGAGCGAGTTAACGGACTATGTCCAAGAGTTGAGAACTATAATGGCTGCTATGCAGTCTGACCCTCTCCCTGAGACTGTCTACGTGACAGTCTTCATGGAAGGTCTCCGCACTGGTGTGGCCAGAACCGAGATTTTTCGGGTTCATCCCTCTACTTTTGAGGAAGCTGTGAGCGTCGCTCAAAATGCTGAGCACATCTTCAAGTCGGCCAGACTTGGTTGGAATGGGTACAACCCAAGCTTTGCGAGGGCGGCCTCTGCGAGGACTTCGGCTTACTGTAAGCCAGAACCGATGGATCTCAGCCATGCTGAAGATGAAGGCGAAGCGGAGCTTCATGTTGCGGAGCAACGACAGGATGTGAGACGCTGTTACATGTGCGGAAGCACTAAACACTTGCGTCCCACTTGTCCTTTGCGTAAGCAACAACCGACTCCTATGAGTCGAAACCCCAGCCTCAACCAGAAACCTGGTATGGCACGGGGAAACGTCGACACCCAGTAGGCGCGGGGCGCTCTGCTGGGGTAGAACTAAGTTCTGTCACATCTCTACGAGATAAAGTGAAACAGGG